CCGTGCCGCTAGGGTGCCCCGGCCTGCCCCGGCCTACCCCGCCATGGGGCCGAGACCAAGGGCCTCGGGGGACCTGTGTTCCGGTGAAGTGTAGGGATAACGTGCCTAGAAGCCGTTTTTCCATTGAGACTTTTTCTAACAGTCATGTCGTTACCTGCCTGACAGCTACAACCGGGCTTGCTCCTCTTCAGGCGCTTTGCTGTGCGACTCCAGCCTGCCCGGCTCTGAGGCCGAGGGCTGTGGTGTCTGGCTGCCTTGGAGTGCTGCGTCGTCTGGCATAGCCTGTGTCCTGAGAAACGTGTTGCTTAATGTGGCTGTTGAAATGCTTTTATGCCTCTTATCTTGTCGTTTTGGAGCTTTAACCTGTCCGAGAGTGCCAGGCTTCTGGTGCGGATGAAGAGCTTGATGTCTTTTCCACAGGCACGTGAAGGATTGAACCTAGGTGTTGTGGGTCCTCAGCTGGAGCTCATGCACAGGAATGCTTGCCCTCACACACACCTATCCTGTGAAAACTGAGGCAGTTCCTCCAGCTGTAATGTGTGCCTGGTTTTGGTCAGCCAGCAGACAACAGTAGCGTGAAGATGAGGTGTTCTGGCTCTGGGGGCACTTGTGACTGAACTGGTAACTACTTGTAGCTATGCAAGCATGTAACAAGGCTGTTTGTTTTCTCCAATAGTTTGTGGCTGATTTTGGTAGAGATAGATCTAAGTCAGGTGCGGAAGTGAAGCGTGTTATCAGCTTGATGGCTCAGTTGGAAATTCCAACAACCTCCGTATTTGTGCTGTCCTGGGTCTCATGTGTCTTTGGGGACAGAAGGACCTGCGTGGCTGTTACCTGTGCTTGTGGATGAGGATGTGAGAGAATGAATTTAGCAGAGCCAGTGCAGTTTAACAGTGCCTGATGACTGGTGATTAATGAGCAGTGTTGGATTTGTTCTGTGTTGGGGACTAGTTGCCTCAGTTGCTTCTCAAACTGCCTCCCATTTATTTTAGTGTGGCTCTCCTGCCACACTTTCCTCTGCTGTCACTTGTTCCTTAGGTTTATCCTCCAAAATGGTACACGAAGATACTTTTTGCTGCAGTTTTCTTACTAAGTTTTTAAGGTATATTTCTTTCTTCTGCCTTCTGGTTTTCTTATCAGTTCAGACAGCAAACTCTGAATCCAGGACAGCGTGGTGTTTGCTGCCTGCTCTGAGTGTCCACACTGGAGAGTTCTGATCCTGATAAATAGCTAGGTGTTGATGTAGTGAATATAATAACAACAGTCTCATGGGGCTGAGGAAGGTCTCTAACAAATGTTAACTTAATTGCTTAGCACTAAAGCAAGAGAACAGCCTGTAATTATTCAGGACATCTTTGTCTAACTTATTCTTAGCAACTGAATCTTGCTGGTAATCCATTGTGGTACTCTTGGTTTTACTTTTAAGAGGATTTTTGGGGTCTTTAACCAAAATCTTCCATGCTACAACTTAGGCTTGTTATGCCCTGTCGTCTTCTCTGTGGCTACAAGGAAGAGGTTATTTCTGTTGTCCTCTCTGCAGCAACCATTTCTGTATGTGAAGGCCCCTCCAGGCATCTCCTCTTTAGACCAGACAACCCTGATTTCATTTCACCTAGTCTTTTCATTTCAGTCCTTAGGGCTCTGATCATGTTTATTGTTTTCTTCTGGATTCTTTTCAACTGTTCTCTGTATTTTCTCATGTTCTGATTCAGGCTGGGGTGAAATCTCAGAGTTAAAAAACCAAAACCAAACAAGATGTAGGCAGTTAGAGCACAGTGCAGGTGGTAGGAAGGGAGCTGAGTCTTGAAGATTGTGGAGTCAAACATAACCTGTCAATGTCAGTATTGCCCTGTTGCCAAAGCTGTGTTGGTAACTAGTACCTGGTATGGGGTGATTCCGATGAAGACCAAATATCTGTGTATTTTATAGTTAGTGTGTCCAATTAACAAGGAGGTCTGCAGAGAGGACAGGGAGTTTTGCTTTCATCTGAATATGCTTCTATGAACTGTCCTGGATTTTACCTCCTTTAACTATGAATGTGCCCTTTTGCCTTCCAGGAGTAGCTTTAATCTGTTGCAGTGAGAAACACTCCTACTTTTCTGCCTTAGATCTACTTAAATCCACTTATGTCTCCTTGTGTCTTGATTGTGAGGTGTTCAGGACTTTTCATTTGTGTCCTGCCCTGTATGTTCTTGCCTTTGGCCTCTGGGCTACTGGTGTAATACAAATTGCTGCTATTAAGTAAAATAGGTGCTTTTGGAGATACCTTAAAGGAATGCTTTATTACCAGCACATGCTGATTATCCATTAGAATGGATGGTGCTTTTGTAATCTTAACTGAAGGAGTGGAAAGAAAGCAAGGTGTGGGAGAAAGGATCCAGCTGGGGAGTGACGAGGTAGGAATTAAAGGTGTTTTGCTTGTGTTATAAGAAAAGGGGCTGGTGCTGGCAAGACAAAGACTCCCAGTTCTGTAGAAAATATAAGTATGGTTTTGAGGCGTAACAGCTGAGGCAATCTAAAGAGCAATGGCTGCTCTAAAGCATGTTCCTGCTCTCTTATTCTTCACTAATGCCAAATTTGGCATTTGCATGACCCCAGAATGGATCTGTCTGAGGAATGAAACTCACAGGAAATTACCAGGAAAAACAAAGAATACTTTGTTGGCTTAGCTGCCCAGTGGAACAGGTAGTGGGACCAGGCAAAGCTCCGAAGTGCTGTGTGGTGGGCGATGAGACTGTGGGAAGGGGGATGTGCTTCCCACTGGATTGACCTGGATGTAGCCTGAAACTGCAGCTGAAGAGCTCGGATGGTAGATGCAGCTTTTTATGAAGTGCCAAACAACACCACCCTCCCATGAGTGGTTGAAATGATCAATATGCAGTTGCTCCCTGAGGCTAGGGATGGGAAGTAAACCTTTCAGCCAGTCGTGGAATTATTAGCTTTGTAATTAGGTTACTGCCTGCAGGCCAGTAGACATGCTTGGGTAATGAATGGGCAGGTGCACTGCTGCTCCAAGTGTTTCAGCAATGCCCAAGATTCACAGAGATGGCACTGGGCTGCTTCTGAAGTGCTAAAACAATAAATGGTAGAAACAATCTGCTTACAACCTGACATGAAGTGTGCACCCTATTCGGGGGATATTAACTACTTTTGAGAGCAGTGGACAGTTGTCATTATTGATGACTATGTGTTTTATTATAGGATGGCCCTGCTTAAATTAAGACAGATGGAGAAAGACCAGGAACATCTGACACATGAATTCTTAATTCTCTCTCTGAATTATAAAACATGCAGACCAAGAATTACATCCTTTTGTATAACACTAAGCGTGCCGTCAGCACTTAAATAGGTGTTTAGTCTTCTCATGACAAGGGTGTCCAAAGCTGCCTTAGGCATACTTTGATTAAAAGAGGAGGAAATAAAGCTGGTGCTTCTGGAGTATTAAGATGAGATTTGAAAGATGGTGTTTTAGCATGATTGCCTTTTTTCCAGTGTACTCAAATCCCAGAGTCCACTGCAGCAAGAGAGAGCTGCCAGCAAAAACTCCTCAGCAAGTCTTATTGCTTCAGGCTAAGGAGGCGATCAAAGTAGAGGTAAGAATTTGAAACGCTATACCTCAAGATGACCTCACCTTCTAACCCCTTGGCACCTCGGAGCTGTAGTGCCCACGGCTGATGCTCTGTTCTGTAGAAAATGGAGATCAGCAGCTAAAGTCCTGCTTTGCTTTGGTTACTCAGGGCGGGATGTCGGAGCTGAGTGATGAAGCCAGTGAGTCGGAGCTGCTGAGCCGCAGTCTGTCCATGTGGCACGGGGTCGGTCAGATGATCTGTCGGGAAGAGCTGGACGTTCCCCTGGACTTGCATACGGCCTCCTCCGTCGGCCAGTATGAAGTGGTGCAGGAGTGTATTCAGCGGTAAGGAGGGGCTGGGGAGGGCACAGATCTGTGGTTCCTTCCTGCCAGCGAGGGGGTTTCGCTGGCTGCCATCTAATGTTGCAGTGGTGGCACCTGGCTGGAAGTCCCAAAGAGTTCTTGGGCACAAAGTTTCAAGGGGCAGGTCTGCTGATAAAAATGACCTCTGTAGTGATTTGGTGGAAGCTGTGCTAGAGCTGGTAGGAATTCCCATGCAGGCTCCAATGCTAGGGTGTTTTTCAGTCATCTTTCAATACCATGATGGTAGCAGGAGGCTGCAGCAGCGTACTGTGATCTACAGCTCCAGGGTGGTAGTTCAGCTGAATTCTTTTCTCTGTTGTTTAGTGGAGATCTGGATTTAAATAAGAGGAATTGTGGTGGCTGGACTCCACTGATGTATGCCTCCTACATCGGCCACGACACCATTGTGCATCTGCTGCTGGAAGCAGGAGTGAATGTGAACATCCCAACACCAGAAGGGCAGACACCTCTCATGCTGGCCTCCAGCTGTGGAAATGAAAGTGTTGCTTACTTTCTTCTACAGGTGGGTATCCACAATAAATAGATAAAGCCACAGTACATGGTTTAATTGCAGAGGGTAGGGTTCTCCACCAGTTGCAACAGCAGCGTGCAAATTGAGTTCTGGTGTGAGTTCAGCTTCCCAACAGAGATTTAAACTCTTGGTATCCCAGCACAGGGGGGGCAGTGGATAAGAGACCCGGCAGAGAGGGTGCAGTAAAGAACACTCTCTGTTCTCTTGAAGCAAGGTGCAGAGCTGGAGATGAAGGATATTCATGGTTGGACTGCCTTGTTTCACTGCACCAGCGCCGGACATCAGCAGATGGTCAAGTTCTTACTGGACAACGGGGCAAACGCCAACTGCAAGTAAGGAGGCATTTGTCACTTCATTTCTCAAGAGAGACCTCACTTCAGATTTGAAAGCAGCAGTTGGCATGTGAACACACTCGCACACAGACAGGGAGAAGATGCCTGCTTTTGTCTCTCCTCCTGTACCTTGGGAAGTATGGCTCACCATTAGCTAATACAAGGACAGGTGACCTGCAGACTGAACAGTGAAGTCTGCCCATGTTGTCACTGTTTATTTAACCAAGATCAAGAGAAATTAGGTTTGCTGCTTGCTT